TAGAAGAAGTAGATTAGAGTAGTACACAGACTCAGTGTTTTCATTTTATACATCGTATGCTCAGCTAGGTCTGTTTCTAACTTAGAGCTTAACATGCTTATCTTTGAAAAATTGTGTAACCGTCTATTCTTGTAGACAGAATTAGGTAAGTTTCCCCTGAAAACCTCAAAAAAAAATGAACTGTATATGCAATTCTCTAACAAAAGACAATTATTTGCTGTACCAATAAATCCTAATGAGGGACTTCATTCGGGGTCTCGGTCTGCAGGAAGCTGAGAACCCCAGATTCCCCCATCTTTTAAACTGCTCTTTGTCTCTGTCTCAATCATTTTCTCCATCTATAATATATCATTTCTTTATTTCTTATTTTCACATCCCTTGTGATGATCCTGCCTTGGGACCTGTTTGTGCTGGAAGGGTGGCCAACTCCCAGCATTGGAAGAATCACTATTGTTAAAATGTTCATACTACCCAGAGTAATCTACAGATTCAATGCAATCCCTACCAAAATATCAATGACATTCTTCACAGAAATAAAAAAAAAATCCTAAAATTTATATGGAATCACAAAAGACCCAGAATAATCAAAGCCATCCTGAGCAAAAACAACAAAACTGGAGGAATCACATTATCTGACTTCAAATTCTACTACAGATCTGTAGTAACCAAAACAGCATGGTACTGGCATAAAAACAGATACATAGACCAATGGAACAGAGCAGAGAACCCAGAAAGAAATCTATACATGTATAGTCAACTTATCTTTGACAAAGGTGCCAGAATGTCCTAGGGAAAGGACAGTCTTTTCAATAAATGGTGCTGGGAAAACTGGATATACATATGAAAAATGAATTATTAGGCCTTTATCTCTCACCATATACAAAAATCAAATCAAAATGAATTAAAGACTTACATCTAAGACCTGAAACTATAAAATTATTTTAAAAATTGGAGAAATACTTCAGGAAATTGGTCTGAGCAAAGACTTCTTGAATAATACCCCCAAAGTACAGGCAATCAAATTGAAATTGGACAAATGGGATTACATCAAGCTAAAATACTTCTACATAGTCAAGGAAACAATCAACAAGGTGAAGAAACAACCCACAGAATGGGAGAAGATATTTGCAAACTACCCATTTGACAAGGGATTAATAACTGGAATATATAAGGAACTCCAAAAACTTGATAGGAGAAATATCAAATAATCTAAATTAAAAATGGGCAAAGGATCTGAATAGACATTTCCTAAAGGAAGACATACAAATGCCCAAAAGGTATATGAAAAAAAATGCTCAACATCATTAGTCATTACAGAAATGCAAATCAAAACTATGAGATATCATCTCACCTCAGTTAAAATGACTTTTATCAAAAAGATAAGCAATAATGAATGCTGTCGAGGATGTAGAGAAAGGGGAACCCTCTGTACACTGTTGATAGGAATGTAAATTAGAGCAACCACTATGGAAAGCAGTACAGAACTTCCTAAAAAAACCTGAAAATAGAACTACCATATGAACCATAAATCCCATTGCTGAGTATATATCCAAAGGATGGGAATTCAGTATATTGAAAAGATATCCGTACTCTCATGTTTGTTGCAGCACTATGCACAATAGCCAAGGGAATCAACCTAAGTGTCCACCAAGGGATGAGTGCATAAAGAAAACGTGGGACATATACGCAACAGAATATTATTCACCCACAAAAAAAGAATGAAATCCTGCCATTTGAAACAATATAGATGGACGTGTAGAACATTATGTTAAGTAAAATAAGCCAAGCACAGAAGGACAAACCTCGCATGTTCTCACTTATATATGGGAGCTAAATATTAAAAAAAAAATTATCTCAACAGAGGCAGAAAGTAGAATGATGGTTACCAGAGGCTGGGAAGGGTAGCAGGGAGAGAGTGATAAAGTGGGGATGGTTAATGAGTTCAAAAATATAGTTACATAGACAGAATTAACAATATTTGATAGCACAACAAAGTGACTACAATCAACAATAAGTTAGAGTATACTTTAAAATAACTAAAAGAGTGAAATTGGAATGTTCCTTACACAAAGAAGGGTTAAATGCCTAAAGTGATATATACCCCAATTAACCTGATTTGATTAATTCACATTGAATGCCTGTATCAAAACATCACATGTACCCATAATAATAAATAATAATTAAAAATAAATGAATAAAAGAAGACAAAAAGAAGAAAGAAGAGCTCATTCTAGTCACCTAGAATATGTACAGGAAGGTAACTAGGAGAGCCCAATAATTCACATGGAAAGGATTAATCAAGCCTTTAGGGCCTTCTTTTCAACAGAGTAACATTTTACCCTTTTCTTTTTGAGTTAAGTTAATTTTCTGTATGATTTGTGATATTAAATAACAAATGAAAGGAAGGATGGAAAAACACTTAACAAATTTCCATTTTGTTGGCATTCCAGACCATGCTTAGCAGAGTGTGTACAATTAATTGATTCATGATGTGCTGACTTGGCTAGGATAGGTTGATAAGGAACCTACTAAACAGAGAGTTTTATTCTTCTCCTTCAGCATTTAAACTACCCCCCACCCCCACCACTTCCATCTGTGGATTTGATTTCCATAGTTTCAGTTACCTACAAGCAACAGCAGTCCAAAAATATTAAATGGAAAATTCCAGAAATAAACAATTCATAAGTATTAAATTACATACAGTTCTGAACATGATGAAATCTCTTGCCATTCCACTCTGTCCTGCCTGGGACATCAATCATCCCTTTGTATAGTGTATCCATGCTGTATATGTTGCTCGCCTGTTAGTATCATCATCATCTGCTCCTGACATTCAACCATCAGCATCACCACGGCTCAGTGATCCAGGATCACCTGAAGCATATGATTCTCCTTCTCCCATAGCACTGAAGGTCAATAGTAGCCAAACACTACGTCACAATGCCTACGTCATTCGCCTCATCACATCTCATCACATAGGCATTTTATCATCTTTCATCATCAAAAGAAGGGTGAGTACTGTACAATAGAATACTTACAGAGAGAGAGGGAGACAGAGAGAAAAAAGAGAGCCCACATTCAAAATAACTTTTATTACAGTATATTATTAGTTACAGTATATTGTTCTATTGTATTATTAAGTATTCTTGTTAATTTCTTACTGTGCCTAATTTATAAATTAAATTTTATTATAAGTAAGTACGTGTATGTGTAGGGAAAAAACATAGTATACATAGGGTTTGGCACTTTCCATGGTTTCAGCCAGCCACTGAGGGTCTTGAAACATATTGCCCTTGGATAAGAGGGGACTATTGTACTTAGAAGTAAAGGCATTTCTGATGTATTGTTAAATCCATGCCTGTTCCCAGAGTAAGTGTTACACTTTATTGTTCTTCTCCTTATCCCCATAAAACCAGCTTAAAAATTACAAGCATCAAAAGCAGTTATAAAGGGAAAGAAGAGTAACCAAAAAATAAAAGTTCTAATCTAGGTAATAGGAAAAGTGGATCCCAATTTTTTCATATTTTTGTGATCATGGGAGGATTATGTGCCAAATAAATCTACATGAACCTCAGATTTCTTTGAGACATTATTGTTTTTCTGATTGTAAGAGAAACATAGTTTTATTTTGGAAAACATGGAAAATACATAAATAAAGAAGAAAATTAAAAAATATTCATAAGTGTACAAATTAGAGACAACAAATGTTAATTTTTTGGTATATTTCTATTGATCATTATGCATGTATATTTTCAGAAAATTGGGTTCCTATAGTAAATACAGGTTTGAATCTTGATTTTATCACTTATAGGTATAATAATAAACATTGCCCTTTATTATTAAACATTATGATTTTAAATCTGTTACATTTCTGTAGCCAATATTCTTGAAAATTATATTTTAATCACTTTTCATGTTATTAATGTAAGAAAAAGCTTTACATTTTCAGTTTTGACTCCATTTTCTGAGGTTATGTTTTTAGAATAAGAATTATGAAATTAAATAAGAGAACATTTTCAAGGCTTTTGGTAAACTTAAGCCATATGGCATCCAAGAATTTTATGCCAATTTCTTAGGTAATTTTTTTTTTTAATACCCACTGGCAGATACTTGCTCTTTCTTCCTGTAGTTGCTAACTAAAATCAGCTTATGGGCTGGTACCAGACTCATGATGGGTTGCACCTTCCCCTAGCTGTTCTGGAAGAGGTAATTCCTGTTAAGAACTGTCCCTGGAATCCTCTGCACCTCTTTGTTCCTCAGGGTGTACATGAGAAGGCTGAGCAGCGTGGTGTCCGCCGTGAACACTAAAGAGGGAAGTGGATTCTACTTGAGGGTTTACCTGGAGTGGGACACAGGTACCTGAAGATGAACAGCCGTGAGGCGCAGCAGGACTGTGCTGAGGTGGGAGGAACGTTAGCGCCCCCTGCTGCGTGGATCTGTGAACAGCAGCCATTGTGAAGGCCTAGCAGGTGGTGAGGCGGGTGGAACAGCGAAGCCTAGGCAGAGCGCTCATGCAGGCACTGCTGCCACCAAGACGACATGTAGTTCTCCATACCCTAGCACAGCAGGCACGTAGTAGGTATTTAGTCAATGAGTGAAAATTCCTGTCCCCTCCCTGGCGTGAATGAAAGAAAATGAAGGCAACCAGTGGGATGTATGGAGTGAAGGAAATTGATACATTAAATAAGCTATGGTTTGCCATACAATATTGATATCCCAAATAATAATAAAATATATTTCTTTGAGTTAAATGTATTTCTTGATGACTATGCCTTACTTAAGGCACGTTTTGCAGAATAAACTAATATTCTAATTAATTAATATACTAATATATAATAATATAATGTAATATAACAATATAATAAACTGCTTGTTCAGGAGGCAGCATGTGTAAAGCCATCGGCCTTTGTTCACAGCAGGAGGTCTGAAGTTCCTGCAAAGAGCAATCGGCATCGGTGAGATGTGACTCCTTAAACTGAGGCTAGAAAGACCAGAGCTCCTGCACTGAAAGTTTTGTCCAAATTTTCAAACCGTATTGAAAGCACTTCAGGAAAATGAGTGCAGATTGTGGACACGGGGCAAATATGGCAAAAAATGAAATATCAGGTGCAAAGTGCGGGGAAGTAAACAATTCTCATTGTCAAAGAGTTCGTTGACGTAGCAGACAGACACCCCGAGATCCCCTAAGCCTTCAACTGACGTCAGAGGCTGCTTTACGGGTGACGGCACTCCTCAGGGCACCTTTGACGTCCTTGTTCCTAAGCGTGTAAATCACAGGGTTGAGTAAGGGCGTGACGAACGTGTAGACCAGCGCGATCTGGCGGTCCTCGTCCTCCGAGGAGCTGGAGCGCGGGCGCAGGTAGACCAGACTGCAGCAGCCGTACTGCAGCAGGACCACGGTGAGGTGGGACGAGCAGGTGGAGAAGGCCCGGCGCCGGCCCTCGGCAGAGCGCATGCGCAGGATGGTGGCGGTGATGAACGCGTAGGAGACGCAGATGAGCAGGAAGGGGACGGTCAGCACCAGGACGCCGACGACATAGAGGACAGCCTGGTGCACGCGGGTGTCCGCACAGGCCAGGCGCAGGACCGGGGGCACGTCGCAGAGGAAGTGGTTGATTTCCCGGCGGCGCCCGCAGAAGGGCAGGGTGAAGATGAGGGCGGTGAGCTGCAGGGAGAGCAGGAGGGCCAGGCCCAGGGCGCCGGCCACCGCCTGCACGCACAGCCTCTGGGTCATGATGAGCGTGTAGTGCAGCGGGTGGCAGATGGCCGCGTAGCGATCGTATGCCATGACTGCCAGGAGGAAGCAGTCCGTGCTGCCGAGGGTGACGAAGAAGAACATCTGGGCCCCGCATCCGGCCAGCGGAATGGGCTTCTGGGCCCCCCAAATATTGGAGAGCATCAGGGGCACCACGACGGTGGTGTAGCAGATTTCCAGGAAGGACAGGTTGGAGAGGAAGAAGTACATCGGGGTGCGCAGGGAGCTGTGTGTGCACACCACCCAGATGATGGCCGTGTTGCCGCAAAGGATCATCACGTAGAGGAGGAGGAAGAGGAGGAAGAGCAGGGCCTGGAATTCGGGGACGGTGGTGAAGACGCGGAACACGAACTCAGTGGGGCCGGACTGGTTGAGGACAGGTTTCCAAGCAAACATGCCTTCCGCAAAATGAGCATAGGAGGCCCTGAGCCCTCGTTGGCTGAGTTGCTACTGCTTGCATAAAAACATGGACTTTAAATTTGGTTTGGAATTACCTATTTAGTATCGAGTTTCCAATCACAATGCTTGGGAATGAATTTACGATAGAAGGTTTGGTATAATTTTCCTTGGAAATCTTCATGAATGGGATAGATGTCATCCGTAGAAGTTCCTGAGGATAAGGCATATAGTTGTTCCTTGTGAATTTTTTTTTTTATTTTACTCTGGAATTTTTAATCCAATTGATGAGAGCTAATATTTTGCTTGTATTTATTTATTTTTTAAATTTTTTAAAATTTCAGCATATTATGGGAGTGGAAATATTTAGGTTATGTATAAAAATAAAGAATTGTATGGTTGTACATACTTTAAATGGATATATTGTTTACGTTTTTGGTAAAATTATCATTGAAATATAACATATGTACAGAGAAACTCACAAATCTTAAGTGTACAGCTTGACTTATAATTTTTTTACATAGTAAATATGCTAATATAACTACTACCAAGATTAGCAACTAGAACAATTCCAGTAACCTACAGCATCCTGCATGTCTCCTCTCAGTCTTTATCCCATCCCTCACAAAAGTAATCATATTTTTAAAAATTTTATCATTGTGGATTAGTTTAACTATGTTTCAACCTCTATATGAAATGATAATGATTTGGCAGTCCTCTGTGCTTTATTGTAACTGGATTCAATATCATGTCTACAAAGATTATTCTTGCTTTTCTTTGTAGGAATACTCTATTTTTTCCATTGCTAATAGTATCCCATTTTATGGCTATACTATAAGTTATTCATGAGTTGTTTACTTTTAAATTCAGTTGTTTTGACTCCATATAAAACTAGGCAAACATCTTTTATTCCAATTCTTTCTGATACTTAAACTTCATATATTTCCTTTCATTCAAATATTTTCTCTAAATTTTTAACCAGGAACCTAAACTTTTGGACTCAGATTCAAAGGGAAGTGAATAGGTTAAAACTAAAGTAGAGTTTCCTAAGAAAAGACAATAAGAAAACTAAAAATGCAATAGCAGATTGCATTAGAATAAACAGGAGAATAAAAAGAGTTTTGTAAGCATCTAGAAAGGGAAAAATACCTATAAATTAAGCACTTTCAGATTGAACTACAACTTTATTTTTAATATAAAAATTCAAGAAACAATAGAATAATATCTATAGAGTCTTAAGAGAAACAAATTGTTGTGAAAGAATTCTATACCCAGATCTTAGTGATTTATGTTAAAAAGCAACAGAAAGATTTTCTCAGATTTATAAGGGCCTAGGAAATATATATGATTCTAAATATAATTAAAACTGTCCCTTAACAAAGATTCTGGGTTTCTGGGTGTTTAATCAGAATATATAATTTAAGACTGGGAAAGTTGTAATATAAAATAATGTGCTTTGAAAAATCAAATAGTAAGATATGAATTTAACACTAAATGATTAATACAAATACTGTTGAGAGAAAAAAGAATTTCCAAGAATAATTCTTGAAAAAATGTATAATACAAAATGCAAAAATTAAAATAAAGGTGCACATTTTATAGTTTATATAGTTGGGAGACTGATAGTGATAGGAGAAATAAAAGTATATTAATTTCCTCAACCTATATAAGGAAGGATTCAGGAGATACTTCATTTAAATGTGTCTAATTAGAGAAATATCCATCCAGACATATGTTTATGAATAATAACCATTAATAGAACAAAAACTACCTTATCCATTCCAAATTATCAGAAGGTTTTTAAAAAGTAAATATAGTACAGAGAACAAAAGGCAAAAACAAAAGAAAATGTGAGCAAACATACAATATAAAATAGCTTAAAATAAGCTGAGAAAAATAAATATTTTATTTATGAAGATTTAAATGGAGTTTGTGTTCTATTAGAGACAGAGTCTCACACTCAACATAAGGAAAAAAAAATCCAACCAAATATAAATATAGTGACATAGAAAGGCTAACATCACTTTTGTTAAGGATTGTGTTTTATGATCCAATCAATGCAATAAGGCTAAAAAAGATGCAGAAGATGTGATTGTTTAACTGAAAACACAACAGAATCAATTGAAAAAAAGGAGGACCAATAAGATATTCATTATGGCAGTTCGTTCCAAACAAAATGTAGGAGAGGCTCTCTTAACTAATCTTCACTTAACTGACGTGTCAGATTAACAAGTGTCCCTCATTCCCTCTGTACAGCATACAGCATGATGCCCTCCATAAAGGGCTCTTATAACTGTTTTACAGATGAGGAAATTGAGGCACAGAGAGGTTAAGTAACTTGCCCAAGTAACTTACACAACTAGTAAGTGTTGGAATGGAAATTTAAACATAGGCAGGCTGGCTCCAGAGTCCCTTCCCTTAATCACTTTATTATATTGTATCTATCTACCGTGTACATCAGTTTAATTATCTGTAAAATGGAACTGAAAATACACTTTCCACCCTTCTCAAGTTGTTGTGAGACTTGAACAAGTTATTCTGTAAAATTCTTTAGAACAGTCCTGGCACAGAGTACATGCTCAAAGTACAGTATATTAACTATTTTCACTATTTCAAATCAAGTAGAAAGGATCAATTTCCTAACAGGATATTAGGACAATGGGCTAATCATTTTTGAAGTTAATTCCCCAATGCATGTAAATCAAAATTTATTTCTGATGGACTTAAGATCAAACATTTTAAAAAATGATAGAAAATTAGAAAATAGAGTAGATGAATATTTTTTCAGATCTCAGGGTAGATAAACATTTACAACCATATGAGCAAAGGGCAGAGTACATAATATTGATATTTCGACATAATAAAAATTTAGAAAGTTTTGTGGGTTAAAAACAAAATAAGCAAATTATGTATATGAATTTGCTTATGAATTTTTCAGCAAATGAATTTTTACAGTTCAGCAAAAATAAACCTATCATTAGAAAAATAAATCATGGCAATATAAAAAAGAAATATGCAAAAGTAAAAAATATAAAAATCTATTTTATTAGTATTCAAATAAATACAAAATTAAATAAAATGAGATATAATTTTCTATTTATTAACTGACAGTAATGGGAAAAAATAATTTCTGGTGTTAAGATTGCAAAGAGAGATATAGTCCCAAATATGCTAGTGGAAGTATAAACTGCTATAAAAATTTGTGGAGTGCAATTTGGTAATGTAATGAAAGACTTGCAGAAATCCATATACTTTGATTCAGCAATATTGGTTTTAGAAATTTATTCTTATAAATTAACCATGTGCATAAAATTGTTGACAGGAATCTTCATCACAGTTTTCAATATAATGGTAAAAAATTATATCAAACTAAGTATCAATAATAGGAGAATGTTTAAATTAATTGTAGTTTATTATTTTGATGGAAGTGTGAGCAATTGTTTAAAATTACATTGTGCAAAAATATTGAATAAGATTGAGAAGACTCATAAAAAGCAGATTATAAAGCAGCATTATACCATGCTTTAATTGAAAAAATTATACCTACTTATAAAAAAGTAGACCATATCTCAAAATATTAACAGTGAATATTACTAGGTAATTGGAGTTGGTGGATCTTTTTGCTTATGGTTTATTCTTTTCTGTACTTACTGTACAGAACATAATTTCTTTTTTGCACATACATAATTTTGTAATCATATAATGAATTAAAAGTCTTCCTTTATTCTTTGGTATTTCAATCAGTGTTGGGAAGGAAGGACAGTAGTGCGTCAATCACATAGATTTTGTAGTTAGAGCTGCATTTGAAAACTACTCTTCTCATTTGTCAGTTTAATTTTCACAATGAACACATTACTTGATGAGTCTCAGTTCCCTGATGTATAATTGAGGATGTGAATATGGACCCTTATAGAAAATTTATGATGATTAAAAGTTTCTAGCATACAATGAATGTACCTGCCTTTCTGTCTCTTTTCTTGTAATGATGTGTTTTCCTTAGGAATTTACTCTTCAGTTCTTATCTTTTGCAAATGGAGAGTGAAGTTCCTCTAGATCTGTATCCTCCCAGGCCTTGCAGTTGCTCTGCTAAACCTTAAATAATAAGGTGAAGAGTAAAAGAGAAAAGGAAGAAGAAGAAAAATGGAAGAGAGATTTCAGTACAATAGTTGTAATTATTTATGGTCAAAATCAAATGAGATAGACTTTGACTCAGGTAACAATTTAAAAATGATTTTATCTTATTAGACATGAACATGAAATGATCAATATTGCACCAAATGGGAACAGCCAAGATTTGGTGCAAAATGTACCTATTCTGTTGATAAAACAAGGCATGTAGTGTCAGGAGTCTGATGTCTGTCACAACATCACATTAAGGTAATTGGAGGGAAAAACTAGTAGACATATGCAAAGTGAGGCTGTAACCTATTAAAAACCAAACACATCAAAATTTATATTTATAAATTAATATTTTCTTTCCCAGTGGTCCCTTTCAAAGGCTTTTGATTTGCTCTAATGATTTCACCTCATTCAAACCACTTCTGGAGCTCCTCTGCGAATTATTTTCAAAGACCCTGCATATTTTCTTGAATATCATCAGTTGTGACCTATATTCACATTTGAATGACAAAATTATGTTTTTTCCTAATAGAAAAATATTTGAGATACAGTGAGATGAAATACAGTGGATTTACTAGATGATTATGTTTCACACTATAGGGTTTGATCAAAATATTAATAAGAGTTGGTACAGCTAGAAACATATTATGCAGTAGAAACATACATTTCCCCCAGCTTTCCATAAAATGTAAGAATAAATATCAATATCATCATTTCTATTAAGTTAATCATTCCAGATTTTGATACAATTTTTGTGAACATTTTCCTCTTGTTGACATTCTCAACTAGAATTAACTGATTCTGTCATTCAAATAAACTGGGTTGGCCACTTACCTTGGAATAACCTGTCCATTGACACATCTGACCATTTCAACATTTTCATCTGGCTAATGGGTGAGAGATTGGTTGCATCTGAAAGTTGTTAATAAAAATATTCCCTGGGACATTTCTTTAT